ATAAGCCATGTTCACACTACTTAGCACAACAAAAAAGTTTGAAGAGCTGTGCCTTTAAATATATAGAAATAGATGCTTAAATTGAGTAAAATATATTCGTACCGAGCTGAGCTGTGGTACGATCATCAGGGACGCCACAGTGGTATGACTCCTAATTAACTTTAACGACCTTGCTTTGTGTAGCCGGAGCCAAAATTTATTTACACGAATGCCATGACATTTCGCCTGCATCGAGGTCAGACGGCTTCAGCCAGCAATCGACCTCGCGTCTTCGAGCTTAACATGCAGTGATGCCAATGCCGCTAATTTACCACGGCGGGTAACAGGAACAAGGCGTCATAAGGCCAGGACGCCACTTTTGTCCAAAATTATACAAGAAAAGGCTACTTCGTTGTAATACCGTTAAGCAATCAAACTTTGAATACATGATTGAGACTTACCTTACTAGCGATACATAGGTAGAGTTGTCATGAAGTGTGCTTTCATTGCCGTATAACAGGAATGTTTATCTCAACATGTCTTGAAAGGTAGCTTTACCATAGTATTCGCTCACTCAATGCATCCTGTAATGAATTAAAAGGAAAATTTGAGGTGGTTTTACTTATTTTCGTTAATAGTTAGTGGTTTGTAGTTTCAGCCATTTCCTGCTTCTTACTTTGAGCAGTTCCTCTGATATTGGTACCAATTATCTAGCACGCGAGGACAAAAATACAAGGAAAACTGAAATGATACACATGCGGTACAACTCGCCACAATCCTTAACGAAAACCACGTCGCAGCCTATGGCTACCTATTCAGGAAAACCACCTTGATTTTTACCTTGTGTGCCCCGCTGCGGTGGTCTAGTAGCTAAGGTACTCGGCTGCTGACCCGCAACCTGCAGGATCGAATTCCGGCTGCGGCGACTGCATTTCGATGGAGGCGGAAATGTTGTAGGCCCGCCTGCTCAGATTTGGGTGCACGTTAAATAACCCCAGGTGGTCGAAATTTCCGGAGCCCTCCACTACGGCGCCTCTCATAATCATATGGTGGTTTTGGGACGTTAAACACCACAAATCAATCAATCACGCGCGAAGAACGTCGCACGAAGAAACTCAGGGGGAGAAAATTTTTGGAGCCCTTCACTACGTCGTTTCTCTTAATCGGATAGTCGTTTTGGGACGTTAAGCCCCACATATCAAATCAAATAAAATACCTGTGTTTACATGATGTGTTAAAACATTAAATCTTACACGTATACGTACACTAAATAAGCCACGGTTATCATCATTCATATGTCAGCTTGCATAAGCGTGGAGCAATGAAGAAACACCGTCGCGGAAATCACATTGTCTCCAATTGTCTATACCGCTATCTTTTCGTCTTGTCCAAGTGACCACAAATTGTTGCCTCTTGCCGACAAGCATCGTGGAACTACATTGCGCGTCGGCCCCCTAACGCGCAATCAGTGTCCCTTTCGAGCGCTCTCTTCTTGACCATTTGTCTTGACTGATGAATCCTTTGTCATGGCAGTCTGTTTGACCTTAAGCATTGCTCAGACAATAGGTCTCAAGATAGTGAGTGTTCTCTGTTTGGACCCGTTCGTTCATGACTAATCTTATATCCCGACAGTAATCAACGTAAAATTCCGAGTGAGCTACAACTGATGCTAAACTGCACATTTAGAAGCGATTGAAAAGCCTACAACATTATTCCGCAATGTAGCGTAAGTTTTTCGGCAGATATAGACAAAGTAACACATGCATTACCACTAAAACCGCCTGGTATATAAGCTTATAGTTACTGTGACAATTCTTTGAGAATGAAACACCGCCAAAGCAGTCATGGAAGTTTCAGACATAAGAGATTTGGGAAATTATATACTATAGCACGATTGTTACTTGTCCGAAAATGGCGCACCGTTGAAATATGAGAGAAGGAAGAGAGTTAACCCAAAGAATCTCTACAAGATGTAAATGGCAGTCAAGTTGTGGAAAAGCTGCCAGATAATCCTTCAAAAGACTGTACTTTGTGGAGTCGATTAAATTTCGTCATTTTGAACACCCTGATTGATCTTTATATCATCTGCTGGCCATCACTGCGTAGTCATCGGCACTCGCCATTAGAGCTGGAGTGCGTGTGGTGTGAAAGCTCGAGTCAACTCTCTACGGGCAGATATGGCCACGGTTTCCCTCGCGAAGATTCCTACTTTCCTTGTGATAATTTTTAGAATAATGGCTGTTACCTCTGTTGAAGAGGCGTTTCTCTCCCCAAATTACTTCCGGGATTTATTTAGGCACTGAACTTCGGCCCATTCAACGCTTTTCAGGCAGCTCGCGGCCTTGATCATTATACGGGGTCATGAGCTCTCACTAGTTGTACAATTTATTTGAGGCAAATCGTGTAGAGTCACTGGTGCAAAAAAAATGGGGGGGGGGGGAGGGTGATGTAGACTTAGTGCTTCAGACAACAAATAAAAGAAGGTCCTGATGAAGCGTGTGTAAACAATTATTAATAGATTTTAAATAAATTTATTATTCATATTTCTTTACAGACGGTTTGGCTGATTGTAAATGAACAGCCGTGAGCCGCACAGTGCCCAAGACGACTTCTGATGCGGAACTTCCAGCAATAGCCTTTCAAGGGTCGTGGTTGCGTTTGCGTAAAGTGTTTGAGTTTTTTGTTCTATTATTGCTGTATCATTCCATCATAACTGTTCACAGCGACGGGTAGCGACTACGTGAAGGGTCTCGATGACGTCGCATGGCTGAGGCACAAGAACAAAACTGCAGTAACCAGGGGAAAGAGTGTCCTGATCCGCTGGATGGAGAAGTTGTGCGATTGAGATTTTCGACCGGGGCTAAATACCTACCTACTGACGCAACCACAAAAGTACTTCTGCAGTTTGGTTTAGGCACACGTCACCTTAAAACGCCAATTAATCCACTCTTTGATAGCGGGTACCTTCCATAGACATCAGCGCCAATTCAAACTGATCGCAATTCACAGTGGCTGAGATGATATAAAGCACACCCATTATATGATGATATCAGGTGGGCCAGAATCAGGCGAACTACTATACGGTTTACTAACGAATACAGCATTCATAAAACAAGCTGCATGAACCCGCCTGCATCTTCAGTGCACGCTACCACCAAAAGTTGAATCACATACAGTGCGACGTCCATTGGGGGCCACGAGACAAACTACGAGCCATTTACTAGCACTGATGCACCAGTTATGCGGCGTCGCTCACATAAAAAGCAAATGCGACGACGTCATCTCGATAGTTCACAAAACACGTGCATCGTGTTGTACATTGTGCAGAGACTGATGCTAAGCGCAGCTAATTTGGTGTCCCTAGTCTTGCTTCAAATACAAAGTATTACTGATGAGGCTCCAGCAACAAGAAAATCCTTTGCGATAGATTTTTGATGTCAGCCAGCTTTAATGTTTTGCTACCCACTTCAAGCGTCATGGCAGGAATGGGTGGAAGAAGATGGTTACCGACGTGTTCTTTGTATTTTGGAAGAAATTGCAAGACCAACCAGCCCAAGTAGCCAATCTTTTGTGTTCTTTGTAATTGAGGACATACAGCTAACGTCAGAGCATCGCTTTTGTGCCATTTGAGCATGCATTGGGATTTACTTGCCTTTGATGAAGTGAGCTGAACAGATGTACTCGCTCTATGTGAGAACCTAGCTCTCTCGATTTATCGGTAGAATCTCGGTGATCAGTTTATTTTCAACTCTCGAGAAACAGAATCTCTTTACATGTGAAAAAAAAAAAACTAGTTTCGGGTCGCGTGCTGCATGCTGGCCCCATGTAGCCGAGTCGCGAGGGATTCATTGAAATAATTCAATATGACAAAAACATCAATACACAAGAGGCCACAACCATCAAACGCCGGCTAACACTGCTCTAAAAGACACTTAAAAAATTTCGTAGGTTGTGTTTAAGGTGAACACACATAGCGGCCAGCAAACGGCAGGCGCTTGCGAACCCGTCTATGTTCATGAAAACTGTTGGGTTTAGCGTGCCAAAACCATGGTATCCCGTGGCAATCCTAAGTGCCAGAAAGCGCTATAACTATGATCCACTGAGGTGGCATTATTTCGTTTGACTGTGACCCAGGCATCCCCGTGTGATATGCGAACTTTCTCAAAGGCGGCACTGCAATCCCTTCTATCACCTTTACGCCACGGCCCGTACGAACAGCTGGTATTTGAAATTGCAGAAATAACTCACCAATTTATTGAGAAAGGACATGAAATAGCCTTTTAATGGCTTGCAAGTCATTGTAGACTAATTGGCAATGAGCGGGCTGATGAAGCTGCCCGTTCTTCCCATACTGAAAGCGATCAAATATCAATTCCGCTCTCCAGAACTGACGCTGCACGGAAACTCCGCATGCTTACTCACAAGCGTATACCAGGTCACAATGGAACGAGTCACATTTCATCCATGCACAGTTATGCACCTCAAACCCAGTTCTCAGTCTTTGAATTTCTCCGGAATTACGCCGACGAGACGCTACTATGCTCTTCAGATTATGGTTGGGCGTCGCATTTACCAATGCGTACGCGTTCTGCATAGGAATGGCTGACACTGCTGCATGCGGCTATTGCGGCAGTGACGAAACAGCTTGGCACATTCTGTGTGAATGCCCACAATACTGCTCGCAGAGACATTCACTCTGCAATGCACTAGATGAACTGGGCAACCAGACTATTTCAGAAAAAAATAATCCTGTGCTACCGACAGGACTTCATGTCGCAGAAGAAGGCTGTGAAGGTGCTCCTGCGCTTCTTGCATTCAACCAGTCTGTCCAAACGACTGTCATCGGAACTCTCTGAATGTGTGCGCATGTGAATTTTTTCTCTAATTTATTTTATATCTCTGTATCTCTATCCTCTGTCCGACCTTATTCCCCACCCCCGTACAGGGTAGCAAACCAGTTCGTCTAGGTTAACCTCCCTGTTTCTTCCTTTTATTCATTTCTCTCTCTCTCTCTCACGCAGGCTTTCTCCTAGCCGATGCCGGATACGATGTGTGGCTGGCCAACCTTCGAGGAACGCCGTATGCTCGGCAACACCTTCATCTCACGGAGAAAGATACGGAATATTGGAACTTCGGGTAATTTATACCATCACGCATTTGAAGGTACAACAGCAAGCTGTCTCTTGAAAACTGCTCCCTAACTCACTTTTGCCGACGTTCTGTGTGAGAGTTAAATACTTTATGCCACAAAGTGATACGCCCAAGAGTGTTAAACACTGCAAATTTATTCTTATCTTAAGGTAGATGTTCTCAATTTTAATACCTTGCCATTTAACTACTTAACCAGAAGTATTGGTCTAAAAGATCACGCTAGCGCTCCTATTATGGGGAGAGTAGTCAAGCCGCGCTTCATAAACCATCGATCAAAAGTCCACAGAAATTGTGAAGCTCACTCAGACTCACGCATAAATTATATTACGCACCTAGGGCTCACTCGGACACAACTTAAACTTCTTGAACCACAGGCACTCTGATTCGGACACAAACATTTTCTTCAATCATTCGCACTGAGGCTCCAGCTCACCAAAATATTACTCATTTGGACTCGCGCTCACTCTGTCTCAATCCCACGGCTCGACATGAGTTTGAGTGAGTTCGATTGCGTTTACTCATGAGTGAGTTCGCCGAGTTATGCCATTGACAGGAGCTATTCGTGGGCAATCGGTCCAATGACAGCGATGCCCACCCTTTATTTTCAGGCTCGATGAAGTGGGCCTCTACGACATCCCGGCGCTGGTCGACTACGTTCTCGCCTGGACCGGATGGAGCGAGCTTTTTTACGTGGGATTCTCGCAGGGCAACGCGGCCGCCTGGGTCACGCTGTCGGAGATGCCGGAGTACAACGACAAGGTTACCGCACCTTTCTGTTCGAAGATTTTGATTTATTTCTGAATGGAATACCACAAGAAACGCCAAGAAAAAATATGGCCCCTCCCTGCTCCGTATTCTCCTTGTTCAGTGAATGTAAAAGGCATCCACATTTAGAGACTTGTTTCTGTCAGTGATGTTCCGTACTATACCGAAAAATTCCCAATAACTGACATGAACACTCCCTGTTTCAGGGATTTATCCCTGCAAATGTTCGCGAAATTCCCAGCAATATTCCCTGGACAACAGTACTAATTTCCGCCCCCATCCACGCACACACTATATTTACATGTGTCTCACTGACTGACGACTGTTGAATTGATGACTAGCCCATCCACTGCCGCAAAACAAAAGCATCACTTTATTATTTCATATACTCTTAGTACACTGCACATTGTGGGTTTCAAGTCTAACACCACTAGTGAAATATAAATCGCTCCGCGTAAATATTAAAGACAAATCTCAAAGGCAATGCTTGCCTGGTGCATGCGTCAGAATCAATTACAGCAGATGAAGGTACCCTGTGACCGCTAATTATCGGTCGTCATAGGGGAATTTACCAATTCCTGAAATCCCCTGTAATATCACGGAGATTCCTTTTTTTCACATAGGCTCAAAATGACGGGTGAAAATTTTTCAAAAAAGGAAAAGTTCCCTGCACGGAACATCACTGGTTTGTGTGGGCAAATTTTATTTCTAAAGTAATAAAAGTAAAAGAACAAACAGTGCCCTGTCTGCTGCGCCGAAGTACGCTACCCAGATAAACAAGATGAATAGGACAAGTGTCAAATCATCATTTAGAATAAGAAGAGAGAGAAAAAAACAAAAAAGGAAAAGTATAGAGCACTACCACTGTTGCCGACCCCCCCCCTCCCGCAAAGGAACGAGCGAGGAGCTCAGTGACATCTTCTAAAAACCATATAACAGAATACAAAAATTAATATTAGGACTCAGTCTTGACCTATAAAGTCCTGACTTACAAACACAATCTTTTTTCTCTTGTTCTTTTTTCTTTATTTTGATTTCAATCCTCCATCTTTCATGCCGGATCCTCCATCTTCCTTGTCTTTTCCTTCCATGTCCTTCTCTCCACTTTCTGTGCATCACCGTCTGGGCTGGCATCAACTGACTTGGGCCTCCTCATTTCTTCAGTTCACTCTTGGTCCTCCTTTTTTTATGTTTGGCGCTCCTCTCATCCTTTCCCATACCAACCACCGAGATTTCTTCCATAAATATGTACGCTCACATTAACATCAACACACATACACATATACACCTATATACGTTCTCTGATATGCGTCAACGTGTTCATAACAGTACTGAAAGTTGGGCGAGTTGGTACTCATTCATGACTTCTTTGCGCAAAAACGTACACGGACACAAGGAAAAGAGGCAAACAACACGGGCGCGAATATTGCGCCCGTGTTGTTTGCCTCTTTTCCTTGTGTCCGTGTACGTTTTTGCGCAAAGAAGTCATGAGTGTTCATAACAATACAGATAAATTTTTGTATGTATACATACACCTATTGCATCATCACATTATTCCGCATCTTTACCTCTCTATTTTCTTTTTATTTTTAGAGGAGTACTTTTGCGTATATATGATTAATTTTGTCACCTTTCTATTTTATTCCCTTTTTGATTCTCATCAATTTTTTTCTTTATTTCTTTGTGTTTTTTTATTTTCATTTCATTTCCTTTTCTCCTGTCCTCCGTCCCTTTTCCTGTTTTTTCCAGGTTGTTAGCTCTTCTGATATTCCTTCCTTTTTTTTCTAAATTATTCTAAATGTAAAGTATGTGAAATGATCAAAGAAAATGATCGTTCCGCCAAAGTCATTTAGTAAGTTTAGAGCATATGATAGCATATGATAGTTGTTTCTGCACCTAGAAAACACACGTACAACAGATGTGTTATTCTAGTATTTTCATCTCGACCCAATTTTTTTTAACTTTTTCTCCGGCAATAAACATGCCCATCCAGGGATGCTATTGCCCTTGTTGTTAGGGGGACATCTTATCCCAGTTTCTATGGTGACTCCATTCGGTGCCAAAGAATTTTGGCCTCAAAGGAGGACCCTCACAAGAGGCCTGTCCCATCGAAGGAAATCTGTTTCTGCCAACCCTCTGTATTCTGTTTTTCCGAGCAGTTCTGTTCCCCTTACACTTTTGACTCAATGAAGTACTATAAGAGGGCTTGTTCGCATGTATACACTCTTAAGTCGGCACTGAAACTCGAGAATCACGAACTACCAGCGACTAAAATGGAGTTCTGGAGGCACCGTTGACTCACCGCACACAGACAGAAAAACGCTAGGAGGTTTAACAGCGACCGAGCACCACGTGTGTTAGCGTTGTGGTAACATAAAACTAGGGAATCTATGGGCTTCGCCTTTAAGTGTTGAAAGGGATAGTCTGTGCCTAGTGGGGACTTGGAACACTTAGCACGTGAAGTTTTTTCGAGCTTGTTGCGCATCTTTCGAATGGCCTGAAGAGAATAGGCGCAGTAACGTGCGTACCTCCTGTAGTAGGTGACAACCTTTAAACCATGAAGTCATTATGATAACAGCATGTTTAACCGCACGATGCCAATGTACTATTTGACCATGCATTAAAACTGCAATATTTTGTGTTGTATTGTGATGCATGTATACAGGACGTGTGTGTTTGCTAAACATGAGTTACTTTCAGTAAATGTCCAAGCCGGTGAAGTTACTTTGACCAAATGCACAAGCTTACCCATGGCTGTGGAGCTGAACACCCTTTTGTGACGTAAATGGCCCCGGTTCGATCTCCAAGCAAATCCGGAGATTTTTATTTTTTTACTTTACTTGCATTTTTCTTGATTTTGCGGCACGCGTAAGAGATAATTTTTCGCTTACAACTAACGACCCTTATGCCGACGCCGGCACTTATGCCGATTGAGCTCTTTAATGCAACCGCGTTAAATGCTTTCGGCACAAAGTCCAGGACTCTCTGAAGATTCATTAGACAGCAGCAACAAAAAATAAAAACGTGCTCTGAGTAGCCATACCGAAAGGCAAATAAGGAGGGACTTCATTTCTTTCTCTCTTTTTTTGTTTTTGCGAAGCCGGGTGGCTATGGAACGTGCTGTTGTGAAAAGATTTACTTCAATGAAGAAGACTTAGAGGAAACGCTATTTTTACTGATAGGGAGGAAAAGATGAGAAAATGGACAGATCATCAGCCCCTCAAATTCTCATGGAAACCCCTGCGCAGTCAGTCGAAAAAAACTTGAACTTATTATTTCCAGATTCCGGTGCCGTGTCCCTCTAATTAATCTTTATTTACAGAGAGCTGGTTAGACGCCTTTTCCCTTTTGTCCGTCGTGCGGATAATCAGAAACTATTGATCATTGCTTTATATCACATTGAAACTACCTAGTAAATAGGAAAAGACTATTAGCTATTCCGTTTGTGAATCTAGGTTTAAGTTTAACCCCAGAAACTGTTCTCAATTTTGATACCTCCGTTTTGGCATATTGCCATAGAGGTGTATTCGATGCGGTGTGTAATTTTATTCAAGTCACTAAACTAATTACAACATAATGCCCATGTTAACAAATACTCGAAAAAAAAATGAGTGAGAAGTAATTTCTATTCTGAAATACGAATAAATATGAGACATACATTCCAAATTAATTGGTTCTGGCAAACTCAGCTGGAGCTGCTTGGCTCCGAAAATCAAATTGTCGGTATTATATTACTGGTTATTTTTTACTTCTTTGTTTTAATTTCTAACTGTCTGGGTCTTTTTTCCTCGATAATGTCTTCCTTCTCGTACATCATTCTTCTATAAGCAATGGTGCAGTTACGATGCATAGAATACTTCACGCTTTTTCTTTCGCTCATCCCTCAGAGTTGGGATGTGTCACGTATTTAATGCTACATACAAACAAACAAATGACAGAACATGTACTGCTGGAAAGCGAACATACGCATCTGAGATATTTTAGGCTGCATGCCTTTTTGAAGCTCCGTGTTTTTACACAATGCTCATGAAATATTAGTGTCCATTTTAGGCGTCAGCGAAAGTATATTTTGACGTTTCTGTTGTTAAAGTAGAGATAAAGAACAAATATGAAATAGGCTAGACGCACAATAACCGTAGCAAACGTGTGAGAAACGTTAACTATGAATCAATGGCAGATAATAAAGAAAAATAATCAATCGAAACCATCAAAACCTTACATGTAGTCAGACATTTATTTCAGTGCTCACAGGCCACCGCCGCATTTCAAAAGAGACGCTATTTCCATTCTTCTATCTATCCACCCAAATCTAAACCATCATTTAAGTGCTCAAGCGTGTCTGGAAAGAAAAATAAGTAAGAGGAGTCGTTGGTCCGAGTCAATGAAATGGATGCCTTGTTTGAGAAACACAGTGCACGTAATATGCAAGGTACAAGGTACAGTTTTTTTCTTTGTGCTTTTATGTCATGGAGCGCTGGGAGCTTTTTTAATATATCTGTATTTTACTCCAATCACATACGCTAAGAACTGTTGCATAATTTTTGGAAACAATTAATCTCGGGTTATGTCATTCTGCATTCTATAATTTGCCGACACCTATGCACTACCAGCTCCGCTATCAAATTTTATTAAGGTGTGGCTACTTGTGTCCATTGTGTGACTTACCTGAAGGGGAAAAATACTATATCGCAGATTCGACTGCTTTTGGCCTTGGCGCCCATCGGCAACGTGACTTACCTGAGAAGCCCCGCTAGGCGTATTACGTCTTGGTCTCCGTTTCTCACGGTGAGTGAATATTCCAGAAACATTCAATATTTACAAGAAATAAATATTTAGGTCTAACGTCACAAAACCACCCTATCATTATGAGAAACGCCCTAGTGAAAGGCTCCGGAAATTTCTAACATCTGGGGTTCTTTAACATGGACTTAAGTCAGCACACGTGCCTTAAGGATTCTTGCCTCTATCGAAAATGGCCCCGCCACGGTGGTCTAGTGGCTAAGGTACTCGGCTGCTGACCCGCAGGTCGCGGGTTCGAATCCCGGCTGTGAAGGCTGCATTTCCCATGGAGGCGGAAATGTTGTAGGCCCGTGTACTCAGATTTGGGTGCACGTTAATGAACCCCAGGTGGTCAAAATTTCCAGAGCCCTCCACTACGGCGTCTCTCATAATCAAATGGTGGTTTTGGGACGTTAAACCCCACATATTAATCAATCTATCTATAGAAAATGTGGCCGCCGCTGCTGGAATTCAATCCCGTGACCTGCGGGTCAGCAGCCGAGTGCTTTAGCCACTCGATCATCATGGCCGATCAGAAATACTCGATGACTTCGAAGAGGCGCTGACAGGAAGGATTTTTGGAAGCATGGAAGTGTTTTTTGCCTCAGTTCACCAAGACTTAGCTAGTGTATCTCAGTCAGAAATATGGTTTTATTAAAATACACACACAAGCAAATGAGAAAAAAATCACCGCCACGTCTACAAAGTGAATGTCGTTAGAGGAGCTTGCTTGGAGGTGCATGGGGACGTTCCTTGGAGAGACCATTTTTGTTTTAACGGGCTGGCGCGTCATGTGTACGTTGGAGGCAGTGGTGTTGGGCACTGTTGCTTAACGCGTGTCTGAGCTCGCGGATGCATCTCCGCGGAGCTCATAGATGGAGTCGCCAAGGCGACGATGAGTTAAGGCAACATTAATACACGGAATAAACAGAAGCGTTACATATCCGGCAGTGGGGCCGACCGTTTGAGGAACTCGCACTGAGGTGCGACGATGAGTTAAGATTTATTCGGACGCTCTCTATCTTCATGCCACTTGGTTCTTTTATAGGCCCTGAGGCTCCCTTGCATAAGCCAGTAAGTCGAAACTTCCAATCAGGAACCAGTTACGGGCTGGAATAGGACCCGTGGATTAGACGGCCTGCCACTCGATGCGTTAGACACCGCAAGAGATGTCAGTGCTTGCGTCAGCCTGGCTTGCTCGTCGGTTTTGACGCTGGTTGCATTTGCGGAATCCATGAAGTTAGGTTTGGATTCCAAGGCATAGCAGCACGTTCCTCGGCCGTTGCTGCGCGGTGTTGGCCACGTTGATCAGTGCGTTAACCAGCTGCCTATCCAGACCATAGTGGCCGCTGCAGTGAGTCAAATGCCTAACGATCCCAAATAGCAGACGTGGAGCTATCAAGCATCCTTCGACGGCATTTGGAGCAGGCAGGTGAGGGGGCTTAGGAGAATATCGGTACCCGTGCTTAACACTCATCATAAGGATCTTGTCACGTGCTGTCATGCCTACGAAGCGACAAGAACGAAGTAGACGAAGTCGCAAGGATGCTCGTCACCCTGCCGCCCTGCGTGGTGGTTTTTTTCTCCTCCCGGCTCGGAGGCGGTGCGAGTTCGCGTGCGGACAGACCAATAACCACTGACAGCCTCCTCTTTTCTTCTCTCTTTAACATTCCTTTCTCTCCACCACTACATATCCCCCATGTGGCGTTGAGGTGACGCGACAGAGACAGTTACGACGCCACACTTTTCTCTTCATTTGCCATCCTTGGAGGCCACTTCGAGCATGCGAGCGCACGGGTACCGAAAACAGACACCTTGTAACATGCCTTGGGTGGAAATTGCTGAAGTCGACCTTGACCGGCGACCTCAGAAGTGTACACACTGGCAACACTGCGTAAACGATGAGAGTCACCGCCCGACAAGCTGCACGCAAAAAGAGCAAGTCTATGAAAATCTACAACCAATGGTTTCGTCATCCGAAATCAAACCCCCGACTTCGCAATCCGTGAAGAGAGGTGCTGCGCCCTTAACGCATAGCGCCAGCAAGGCACATTAACGAAGACATTACAAATGCACTTAAATCTTTCATGCACAGTGCTCTAAGTTTGCGAGGCTGCGTCACTGTCTTTCAGTGGTACAGTGAAGTACCGCGTCATCGACACAAACTAGCATCTATAGAAGGCAATTTGTTTAAGATGTAGTTAGAGTGCCTCGATTCCAACCAGGAAAGCTAGCCGCGTTCGCATCAAAGGGTCGCCCTAGACACAGCTATATATGTCTTTTGCTTGTAACATGAAAGTGTTTTGTTTTGCGGTCCACAGCGGTTCCACTGACGTATTCCTGTCATGGTTATTACGTTGTATATTATACACTAACAGATGACAAAAAACTGCAAGAAAAGTTCCTTCACCGTGGGTCGAACGTACAACTGCATGCTTCGCAGCATGCGGTGCGAAACGATTTGGTCACAGACCTTACCTTTTTCTCATGGTATTAGTTATATAGCGTATTTAAAATTAGAACATTCGCTTTGACGTACGCATCCACTCAGCGACAATATTCTCACAAATACTACATAAATACATTTTCATAAATACTACACAAACATTGAAAGGATTACATACTCATATACTTAACAAATCCAAAAAACAGGAGAACTTCAGAAGGTTGGCAAGGATGAGCCCCTCATTAAGGCGGGGTGTCAGTCTGATTCGAAATCAACTTCTTCGTAAATGATCTTTAGATGGAGAGCCTTATGCATGAAAACATACTTGAAGCAGTCTATGATTCGGCATTGCGGTCTTGAATGCGCTTTTTCCACAGACCGTGCAGTCCCATAAGAAAGAACATATCAAAGGGCACTTCATAAAAACATGTTGGGAGAAGGTAACGTATGGATTGTGAATTAATTTCAAAATCTTTGAATGGTGAAAAATGTCCCAGAACTGAACAGCGTCATTGCAGCTAATAGAGCAGTGTTCCATTGTCTCTGTTACGTCGCCGAGACGATGGTTAACTGAAGAAGCAAAAATACGTTTCATTTGGAACTACGGTTTTGCCGGCAGTGTACCTGTATTAAGTTTATAAAAGAAAGTTCTTGTACCAGAAGACATATAAATTTTCCGGACTCGTTTTAGTACATAATGTTCTGGAAGGTCGGAATATGATGAGCGGTAAAGCGGAGTACGACAAAGCATGGATAAGTCATTTTATGAAGTTTTTCTGTGTGATACTGCATATAAGTGTTCTAGAAAAATAACACTTTAATCAAGATTTCGCAATATGTTGGTTGCTCTTTTAAACTCACAAAAAAGTTGCGGGAATTAATTGGAATCGTAATCCATCAACGTACCTTGGTGTGCCACTAGACACGTACAAACTCAGTTCGTGTTACTGGAAAGAATACATTCCTAAGCTTGAACCATAAATTGAGATTTTTTCCCCACATTGTCTTTTTTCTTTCGGAAATCTAAAGGTTGCAATATTTCTAAGGGCGAAGCTCCTCTTCGTCTAACCTTGTCATGCGTCACGTGTAACCGAGAGAAGAAGAGGCGAGAAAGAAAAGGCAGTATTTCCCGAACAGTATAATACAAGGTGCTGTCTCATAGAAGTACATACAAACTGTAGTTCAGTGAGAATATTCTAGATGGCGGTGTACCGCCACGCTCCGATTGACTGCTCCACGGGCTGTACATGAGTGCGCAGAGAACGAGTGCATCTCTGTCTCCTGGATAGTCGCTGTATGTGGAGGATCGGTGGTGGGGCACGGACGAAGAAGAGTGGCGGGCGCGTCGAAGACGTTCGCATTCGGCTTCTGTGGCTCGCATCTCGTCGGTGTCACCCGCACGCCGTCTGCATTCTCGAACGTGATCGGACGCATTGACGCATGCATGGATGGACGCTTCGTCCCACTCATCATCATTCACTCCTCCATGGATAGGGTGTGATTTTTTTTAGCTACCAAGCTTTACTATGTATTGCAACTTGTTCATTGCGCTCGATCTTACCTCCAGCGTTTTCATCGGACTATCGCAAATTTTGTGTGGTCTTCGACTTTTAAACCATTGAGCCGGGACAACCTCTTCCTGGCCAGTAAGGAAAGAAGCGATGGAATTAGTTAATTTCTCTCTAAGGGACTTGTGTGCTGGTACCAAAATTGCCGGCTGTGCCGCATTGGTGTTTCCAAGACGATAGTTATAGCGCGAGAACAGAACGGCGACAAAGAAACAAGGACACGAGCGCTCTTCGTCGCCGCTCTGTTCTCGCGCTATACCTATCGTCATGTCATACCAATTAGCTCAAACTGCCACACTTCTAAGGTGCTTCCACCTTCGGTGGTGGCGCTTCAGCGGCTCGGGGTTCATCGGATCGGCGGCAGCGTGATCCGGAGTTGAGGGGGCTAGGCTGAATATTCAAGAAATGGTGGGGATAATACTTGCCCCTTGAATTTAAAAAAAAAAAGAACAATCTGCCTCACCGGCCGGGCGAAGCAATTAACGTGCTTGCAGCTGTCCTAATGTTGTGTATTTACAAATACTGCTGTCTTGTAGTTTTGGAAACATAGCAGGTGTAAATAGAAATTTTAAGCACCTTGAAAACTTGCAAATTAACCCAATAAATGTTACTCTATTCTTTCTTTTTATTTCTCAGAACAGAATCAGCGCAGATACCTATCAAGGTCATTCTGAAAATAGACGCACTGCAAAAAAAGACAAAGAAAAGAAAATGACAACAATCCTGAGTTGATCTAACGGACACATTATTTAGAGGATCAAATCACCGCGTACGGTGTAAAGAAGATGCAACGAATTATACGGGTGCTAAAGCACTGAAACCAGTTTGAACTGTCTCATTTATGCAGAGGATGACACGATTACAAATGCGCCATTTTTCTAGAGTGGCTGCAGAGATAAAAACAGAAGAGCCTGTTTCTTATCATGACTACAGTATTTTTTAAGTTTGCCATGTTTCACTCCCCTTACAAAACGGCAAAAGAAAACACTTCA